TGGCTATGTGCCATCACTTCTTGCCCACCACTTCTTGCCTATGGCCCACATTGCAAACTGAGCACAAGCCTCTATTCTACTATGTGGCCAGGAATCCTTCCTGACACTTCAATGGCAGCTGCTCTTGATGGAGTTGGCATGTAGGATGGGACTTCATCATCTCCAACCTACCATGTGTCAGGCATCACACTGGTACTTTCCATAGTTTATCTCACTGCCCTCGCAGCATCCCTAGGAGGTAGAGATGGTCATCCCCATTTTTAGGAGGAAACTGAGTCCCAGAGAAGTTCTCGAGTTTGCCCAAGGTGACGCAGTTGGTGGAGTTGGGATTTGGATGGGGCTGTTGGACTCCAAAGGCTGTGCTTTGTCCTCAGCATGTCCTAGCCTCCTTAGCTGGAGTGGCCCTTGGATTCTTAGCTGGCTGGATCCCTGGGGTGGGAAGGCACAACAGGGGGAGGGCAGTGGAGGGACAGCTCACTCCTATCCAGCAGAGATCCATCCTTCTGCAGACCCAGGTTCTCCTCTGCCTCCAAGCCTTTGCTCAGGTATCTCCTCTGCCTCCAAGCCTTTGCTCAGGTATCTCCTCTGCAAACTGCCCAGAACTTCCACCCATCTTTCAAGGCTTCAGCCAAAACCTCCTTCACCTCAGCCCGGCAGGCAGACCCGGGTGCCTCTTCTCCAACGGGTGCACTAGGCCTGGAGCGCCTCCACAGTAGCTCTCGCTGCTCAGGTTCTTGTGTGCCTGTCTATCGCCTACCTCTATCCGACTAGACCCTGAGCGCTCCGAGATTGTGACCTCCTGACATATGAACCCCCAGAGCCTGGCACAGTGCCTGGAACATAGTGGGCTCAGAGAAAGTGCTCATGGAGTGAGGGAGTCCAGCAGAGACCCCAGCATGGGGCTGGAAGTTTTCTTCCAGCAGTTTCTTGACCCTCTTCCCTCTAAGGCGGGTTGAGCTGGGTATGCTTTGGTGCCCACCAATCACTTTGTCTTGGGCCAATTTGAACTTGATATATTTCCTTTTGTAAAGAAGCCAGAAAGTATGAATTACACTAAAGACAAATGGCCCAGAATGGTGATAAGTTAGCCCAATGAGCCACTTCCTTCAGAGGCATGGCGTGGAGAGCAGCTTCCAGGAGGCAAGACGCCCAAATTCCCCATTCCAAAGCATCACTCACAGTCATCGTCAGGGGGTGGATTTAGTAACATTTTTTTAAACAAAATGCACCATTGCAGTCCTGTTCAGAAACGAATGAGATGCCAACAGTGGTGTGTGTCTGGGGCCTCAACGGCAGCTGGAGAACATTGTGCATGCATTTCTCACATGCAGTGGCCATGTTCCTCAGGAACCAGGCCACGGAGATGTTTGCAAAGTGATGCTACAGTTGCTTTCTATGTATGCAGGTTAGTCAGCCCTCGAAATCTCCACATGCATAAAGTAATTTTATGAAATCACATCTCCAAGATTCTCTGTTCATATTCATTTTCTGCTTGTTCATTCATTGTTCCATCTGTGAACTCACTAACACACAAGCTGTCACAGGTGCCAAAGGTTTAAAAAAATTTATGGGAGGAAACCTTGAAATTGATCAAATCCTATCTATCCTTTTTTTCCTCCTGTAAGTTGAAAAATGGCAGTCATTATGTCATTTTAGGAGAAGAAACGCTGCTTGCTTTTGGGGTCCTGTGGTGTTCTTTTGGAGGAGAGCTTAGCACTTTCTAGACCAGGGTAGCTTTGCCTAGAATCAGTGCATCCCTAGAGGATCACAGATGGGCCATCGGGGTCCATAACTCTCCTAAAATCGTATGCAAAATTTTATGTATATCCATGTGTCTCTGTGCATTTTTTCTGGGGAGAGAGTTCATAGCTTTCACCTTGTTTTTAACACAAACAAGATTAAGAATCAATGTTATACAGGGGAAAAAAAAAGAAAAGAAAAGAAAAGATAGAAAGTATATACCTTAGCTCATTTAATCCTCTTAATTACCCTGAAAACTAGGCACCATCACCTTCACTATTTAGATGGGAAATAGAGGCTCTGAGCAGAAAATGAAATATTTGCTTAGATATCTGACACCCCTTCTCAACTTAGACCCATAGACTATTAGAGCTGGGATGCACCAAAGAGGTTATCTGTCCATTTTCCACCCCCTCTCCTTTTATAGAGGAGGAAACTTAGGTCCAGAGAAGTGAAGTAGATTGTCCAAAGTTATAGGGTCAATTTACAGCAGAAATGAGTTAGAAATTCAGTCCTTTGACTCTCTGTCTAAAGCCTTTGCCAATCTATTGCTTTGTTCTTGCAAAGCCAGTGAGCAGAGGTTTCACCGAGTGTTAAACAGAATTAGTAAGAGACTCTCCTCCTGTCACCTGTCCTCAGGCTGGGTTGGTTTCCACTGATCTGTTTCATAGTCCCCAAAGACATTATGGTCCCAGACACACTCAACCTATTAGCCTTAGGAATACACAAATGCATGCACAAAATGATTCCATGTGCCAGGAACCTCAAATGAGCAGGCAGAAAGCCATCAGCTACATAAATCCACCCTCGGCTTGGGAAATGTCTTCACAGACGCTTGGAGAGCAGAGGAAGGAGTCTGAAGGACTTGAGCCATGATACACCCCTCAGCCTGGTGACCAGGTCCTTCATCCTTTGGCACCTGCCTATCTCTCAGTGGTCATTTTGGACACTTTCCCCTTTCTTGGCCCAGGTCCCCTGGACCCACATGCAGTCGCCTGTGCCTTCTCCAGCACCTCCATAGTCGTCTGTTTATTCGTTAGTGCTCCCTGCTCAGATGATAAATTCCCTGAGGGCAAGTGCCCGGCACATGACAGACGGACAATAGGGGCCGCATGAGTGGTAAACTTGTGTTCTTCGTGTGTTTCCCCTTCCTTTGCTGCCCTGCTCCCTTCCAACTGTGCCAGGAAGCTTGTTCTGCAGCACAGAGTGAGTGGACCTGGCTTGGTAGCATACCCACCCCCTGTGGAAGCAAATTCCTTGGCCTCTCAGAGCCTCCCTGCTTCTCTGTAATGGAGGAACACATTCTGGGCTTTCTGGAGGCCCTTACTTCTGCTGAGTTTATAGATGCATTCCTCAAAACGAAATTGAAGTCTCTGAGCCTGTGGAGGAAGAGGTCCCACGTTTCTCCTGGGGCCTCTAGGCTCCGGCAGGCTGAGCTGACCTGTACCAAGATCACACCTGTGGGGGGGCCTGCCTCTGACTTCCTCCCTCCCAGCTGCCGAGAATCATATCAGAGACCCTCCGTAGACCCTTTCTCACTAGGCACATTCATAGTTAAGGCTCTTACAAAAATAGCTTCAAGCTGGAAAGAGGAAAATAAAAGGACTCCAGCCTCTCTCTGCCAAAAACAACACGCGACAGCGTGGAAGCAGCCTGCTCGGTCCTGGCGTGGCTCCTCGTGGAAATGCTTCTTCCTTTCGCTCTCCCCAACTGCAACAAACTCCACTGACTGTTGCTGAGGTCATGTGCCATTATTTTGTTGTTTGATTGATTGGTTGATTTATCTGTCTGACCCTTTGAGGTCACTGATGATTCAACCATGTGGTTTGGGCTCGTGATCGTTCCAAACTCCTGGCCTTTGTGTCATCATTTGGGTCACTCTTGAAAACTTGACACATCCTCCAGTCTCTTCTGTCTGCCCAATCTCTCCAGGTCTTCACTAAGGAAATGATTACACACACAGCTCCTTGTTTGAAACGATGATAATAAAAACCACTCGACCACTCCCAGGAATTCAGGCACGCAACTATGTCTTTGGTTAACAACCAGTTAATAATAATCAGTAGTTGGCAATTGATTTGTTCTCTCGAATTTCTTATCTTTTTTTCTTTAAACAAGTTAAGCTCGTAGACCCGCTCCAAGATGAACAAAGCCAGAATCCCCATATCAGAAGGGGCACATACATATGTGAGGCCTGAAGCAATCCAAACCTGATAGAATATTCTTTGCTCCATCCCAAATTGATTTGAAGTTGTTTTTTGTTTGAAAAGGAAGCCAGAAATCCAATGAAGCAGTTCAAATTGCAACTTAAGCTATAGATTTTAAAAAATTTATGAAACTCTTAAACTGGAGCAAGGCAGAAGCATCGAGAGAGAGAGAGAGAGAGAGAGACACTGAATGGCAGAGCGGGGACCAGAAGCCTGAACCCCCGTCTAGCTTTCTGTGCATCTGTGCCTGAGGAGGAGGGCACAAACTACATTAGACCTTTCTTCCCGGCTTTGGGGGAGGCTCTGAGTTGGGAGTGGTGGGGGGAATGGGGGAAAGTGAGAGGTGAGGCCACAGGAACTGTCCCTATGGAAACAGCATGATGCCCTGAGGACAAGGATTCTGCCTGAACAGGAAGCTCTCTCTGGCCACAGAGGGGCTTGAAAGGGCATGCCACCTCCCCACCGAAGGACCTTCCCAACCTCCTTTCCCCCCTGGACAGCCTCTCAGGAATCATGGGGAAGAAGGCAGATGCACATGTGACCTCTGCAGGGACAAGCAGGTCTGTTTGATGGGGGTGAGGAGGTGGGGTGTAGAGAGGTTTGGGAAAGGCAGGGGCATGGGAGGGAGGCCACGCTGGGGCCTGTGTCCAGCCTGAGTTCACTGACAGGGTCAGGAAGAGTTGGGACAGAAGATAGAAGAGCAGAGGGACGTGGAGGCCTCCTCACGGTTTTCGGGTCTGGGCAGCGTTCTCTGCTCCCCCCTTCTTCAGGCCATACGCCTATGGTCCAGGACAGAGTCTTCCAGACAGTGGGCCGCGACCTGTTAGTGGGTTGTGAAGTCATTGACAAGGTTGCAATCAATAGTTTTTAAAGATTTAGAATAGACTAGAACACAGAGTGTACACATTTTGTAAAAGTAAGTGTTGGTGCATAAAACTTTATATGTATATATACAAAATCGGTGGGTTTTGACCGGGCAGGTCTGGCCCTTTCCTAAGCCTACGAGGAGAGAGACCTGAGTGTGGGGAAAAGGCAGAAGTGACACAGCCATTTCCACAAGACCAGCTTTTAATATGACTGTGATTGGAAGCACGAATAAATAAACGCCAGAGAAAATGGAAAAACCAAACCAAACCAAACCTCAGAACATCAAAACCAAAAATCAGAAAACAAAACAAACAGAACAGACTTCTGACAGATGAACAAGAAAAAAGCCCCCCGAAAGAAACAGAATCAGACTGTACAAGCCGTGTCACAGGGAGAGCAGAACGACGGGGGCGCCACGAAGGAGTCCCAGAGTCACCCTGGCCACCGTGCCTCCATCACAGGTGCTGGGAGGGGGTGGCCCTGGTCACCCCGTGGGCCAGCTTGGGGGAAAGGGGCTTGTGGGCAGGTCGAGAACCTTCACAGACCACAGGAGGACCAGACGTAGTCGAGAGTTCTGCGGTTTCCTTCTGGATTGGGCAGTTGTGGCTCCAGCGTGGCCTCAGGGTGACTTGGGCTGGAACCTGGTCCCACTGCATGGCTGCAGAGTGGCTGCTGGACACCGCACAGAGGAGTGTCACACACAGAGACAGACGTGGAGGTGGCGCCGTGAGGAGTCTGGGCATGCAGGTGCTTTATACATCTGGCAGTGAGATGTGATGGCAGGTTGGTTCTTGGACAGTTCCAGAGTGTGACTCATTTCTCCTAGGAGGGACGCACGGCGGTGCCCGAGGACGCGGCATGTCAGCCGTGGCCGTAGCGAGGTTTGGCAGAGAGTTTGTTATGTGTGCATAGGGGGCTCTTGCTTCTTTCCGTCATCAGGGGCCATACCACCTGAGCCTGCGGTCCCCTGTGCTGGGTCTCGGGCCTCAAGGTCTGTTTGGGGGGTGCCGGGTGGGCCGGGGGCTGTCAGCAGGCAATTTCCTCCAAAGTCCCCAGGGCCGTCTGCAGGGGCACATTCACAGTGTGGCTGATGGTTTCAGAGTGGTTTGGCATCGTGTCACAAGTGCTCTGGAGGGAAGGGGAAAGTGGGCGTTTATATTCATTCAGCAAAAATTCATCATGATGTCACTGGCAGCCCTGGGAACTGCTCCCCACTTCCGGGCTCTGCCGTGGCACGGCTGCTCCGGCCCCAGATTTCTCACGCGCCGGTTTACCATCTTGGGGCATGAGGCTGAAGAATCCTCAACATTGTCCACCTAGGTGCCCCCCAGGGTGGGGAGAGGGCTCCCTGGTGATGGGGTTAGCAGCTGGTTTGACCTTCTTTCCTAGAGGTCCCCTGATGTGCCACCTGAAGCCACATCTGAGTGGTGTCTATCCTGGGGGCTGGATGGCCCCCTCCTGCTCTTGTCCTTGGGGGCCTCCGTTGGGGCCTACCTGGGGTGGAGGAGGTGCAGCCCGTGGCTAGGCCTGGGGCAGGGCGTGCCAATCGCTGACGCCAAGCAGGAAGGGCGGAGGCCCCCAACAGCCAGAACCAGAGCTGGTCCCAGCTGCCCCAAGGACCTTTAGGGTTAGGCTGGCCCCAGGGAGAAGTCATCTTGGGTCCCTGAGCAGGGTGGGGCTGAGGTGGCCGTGAGTCTTCGGGGCGATTCCCAGGCTGCAGTGGGCAGGAGGCTGGGAGGGATGGGAGCAGAGAGACTGGCCAGGAGGCTGTGCCAAGAAACTAGGGGGGATTTGATGAGGACGGGCGAGGGCCCGGAGGGGAGGGTATGACACTGAGACATTCTGAAGGCAGGAGGAGGGTGGGGGTGGGGGAGGGAACCTCCACTTGCTGAGCACTTACTATAAACTAGGCACCTGCTGATTGCTTTGCAGGCCTGGTCTCAATTAATCCTAGTGACAAGTCCCTGAGCTCCCTGTGATTAGGCAGATGCTCAGGGAGGTTAAGTAACTTGCCCCCAGGGAAGCAGGGACCTGGGATGCAGCCAGGTCAGCTGAGTCAGAGCCTGGGCCCCTTCCACACTGCCCTCCCCTCAACAGACACTGTCTTCTGTTAGCAGAGGCTGCAGGGGGGCCCGAGAGAGTTGAAGCGAGATTTGTAGCCAGGGAGATGGGTAGAGAAATAGCGTCTGGAACGGAAATAGGAGCCTGTACAGGGGGAAGGGGCTGGGATCCCTTTGGGATTTGTTGACTTTATGGGGCTTGGACCTAATGGGCGTGGTCCTCTCAGGGCCGGAAGTGCTGATTTGGGGAAAGCCAGCTATCCTGGCACCAGTCAGCTGAGATGGGACCCCAGGAGCCCGCTGAGTTTGGGAAGGAGAAAGGACAGCCCGCAGAGGTGCCGCCTCTGGCTCAGGAAAGAGAGGCAGAGGAGGACAGTGGTTAGGGGAGCTTGGTGTCCAGCTCTGATACTCACCAGCCATGCGGCTTGGTCTCTGGGCCTCAACTGCCTCAAATACAAAATGGAGATAAAAATAGACCTTTCTCTAGGGTGACTGTTCAGCTGAACTGACATGGCACTCTTAAGGCACGCAGCACAGTGCCTGACACGTACCAGGCATACGATGGTCAGTAGTCATCGTGGGTATTATCGCTACTACCAACCTCACAGTGCCCCGCACCCTGTGTCTACTTCAAATGGAGTAGAGTACCAGTGACGTCCCCGTTTGCATTTTGCCACTGTGGAGAATAAGGGAGCAGACTTCCACAGAGCCTCTCTGGTTCTCCTAAGACACAAGATGAGGGGAGTAGCCCTCCGGCCTGGGAGAAGCTGGATTGGGCCAGGCAGGACCTACCATTGGAAGCTGCATCCATGGCTTACTACTGGGCTTTGGGATGAGTCTCAGAGGGAGGCTTAAGGCTCAGATGGAGTGTCCCTGGATTTGGGAGCCAACAGGCTGTCCCAAGCCCAGGAGAGGTGTGCAGTGAGGCACGCCCCTCCTGTCCTGCCCCAATATCTGGTTTCATACAGCCTATAGAAGCCAGAGGAACAAACCAACCTGCAACCCGTGAGCTGCCCTTACCACGTTCTCATCGTGGCTCCCTTCGTCCTCTTCTTTGCCAAGCAGGTCTAATAGCTTCTCTTTGATCAGCTGCAAGAAAGGCAGGAAGGGGTTGGTGGGGCTGGGAGAATGCTGCCAAAGTAGAGGGACCTCTCTCTACTCTGCTCTGCTGGGGAACCACAGCATCTGCCTGGGCTGGGACTGGATAAACCACGCAGGGGCCCAGCCTGGTAGGCAGCTCCGGGAGTCCCTCCCCAATCTTTTGGCTGAAATGGGCTTTTGGTGCAGGAGATAGAGCTTGGAAGAGGTCATAGGAGGGCCCTGTCTCGCAGTGTGGACTGCCATCCACACCTTGATGGAGGGTGTGGATAAGCAGTATGTGCAGGCATGGCTGGCTCCCCGTCTGTCCTCAGGTACAGCCTGGGAGCCCCTTCCTGAGGCTGGGCCTTGGGGGACCAGATTACTACTCACTATCTAGGCTGACAACTCCACAGTTCACAAGATCAGGGTACGCTTGAGTTCATAACATTTTATTCTTAGCAATAAAGGGTAGTTATTAAATATGTTACCTGGTGTGATTCAATTTCCATAACTTTGTACAGCTTTTCACAAAAATTAATAAAGCAGAATAATATCTGGCCATGGGACCCGATTTGGGTTTGGGGAACAAGGTCACCATGCTGAGAGGCAGAGTGTGGCACTCCAGGGGACCCTGGTCACAGGGCCCTCTAGCTCCCCGCAATCATTCCCAGGGCCTTTGGCAGTCGACAGCCCTCTCTGGGAGGCAGAACACTGCTCTGCAGGCTCTGTTTGCTGGGCCCACACTCAGGGGGTCCGGGGGACTGCGCAGGGCCTGGGTATGCCTTAGGATTTCTGGAGCCACCGGAGCCAGCCTGGGGCTGGGGGAGATGCAGGTAGGAAGGGTGACGAGCACCAGGAGCTCTCAGTGCCAGAAGGTGCTGTCCGTTGTTTGAGAAGTTCTCAGAGGCTCTGTTCCAGCTGCCTCTTGAGGAGACATCTCCCCAGACTGTCAGCATCAGAAGCGGCTGGTGTGTCCTTACTCTTGCTCAGGATTGACGAGGTTCACCAGAAAATGCCCCTTTCCTAAACCCGCCTGGACCGGGGAAGGCACTACTCAGGTGACGGGCCACCCAGAGAGCAGGGGTGTGAGTGTGTCAATGTGGTGTATATGTGTGAGTGGTGGTGTACACATGTGGTGTGTGTGTGGTGTATGCGTGAGCGGTGTGTTTGTGTGCATGTGGGGTGTGTGTATGAGGTATGTGTATTTGTGAGTAGTGTGTGTGAGTATAGTATAAGTGTGTGTGTGAATGGGTGTGGTATCTGTGTGTGAACGGTGTGTGTGTGTGTGCATGTGGTGTGAGCGTGTGGGTGCAGACACACCCATGTATGAAGCTACCACATCTGGCCTAGCCAGATGGGTGGGGCTCAGAGCTAGCCACAGCACTCTCTTCTCCGTCTCAACACTTCCCCTCCCCTCTGGGAATGTGGACAGCCCACAGCTCCTCCAGCTCCTGAGGCTAGGACTGTGGCTTCCATCCCTCTTACACTCCCTCTCCCCCCATGCCTAGGACCTGGTGATAGACAATATCCACAGACCAGGGAGGAGAAAGCAGGCTCTGGCGGAGAGATGCCATTCTCTCCCCCATGCTTTGGTTCTGGACATCGGGGCAGGATAAGGGTACCAGCTTATGGTCATTTCCCCATGAGCAATCCCAAATCTTACCTCATAAATATAATCAAAGAGCTCTAGTATTGTAAGGATACTAGCACCAATAAACAATCCCATCTGACCACCAATATCACCTGGAGAGAGAGAGAAAAGACCAAAGATGTGGCTTTACTCACATAGCTTCCAGGAAGGGGTGAACAGACTAAGAACTCAGAAACCAGGCCTCTGAAAGGCTCCCCTTCCACGGGGATCCTGGGCCTTGTAACCGGAAGGCCAGGCCTTTGACAAGTCCCTCCCTCATTGTGCAGCTCTGTGAGCAGATGGTTTTCAGTAGCCAGTAGGGATGGGAACTAACCTGAATGCTTATTGGAGGGGCCTAGGCTAGATCTCATAGGCTAATGGGCTTTCATTCAGAGCCACAATGAGTGGGCCCTGCTTTGGCTCTGGGTTGGGAATAGAGACAAGATGTGTATGGTCTTTGCTTGTGGTGAGGGCACAGTGTAGCCTGAGACACATGTGTTAGGTGCCCTGAGTGGGGGTCTTGGGAGCAGTGGTACAAGAGACTCCCCTACCCATTCTATCATGACATGGCCTTCTGGGCCACCTTGGGGGAACCTCTCATCCTTGGTTGAGGTCACAGAAAGCATCCTCTATCTTCCTCTTTACACTGAAGGTAAATGTGCAATTTGGCCTCTTTCTAGAGCAGAGGTTCTTGTCCTGGGGTGTATGGGCTTCCTTGACCAAAGTCATTCTAGAATGGTCTTCCGATCCCCCTGCATCAAACTCCTGGGAGACTTGTATTCAGTGTAGGTGCCTGGACCTACTCTAGGCCCATAAAATCCGAATCTCTGGGGTTGGGGTCTGGAAATCAGGATTTTTAAGTTCCCAAGTGGTTCTCTGGCCCCCTAGACTCTGAGAGCCACTCTCCTATGGGAGCTTCAGATGGTTGGAGACCTCCTGAAATTGAATGCAAAACACTACGTGTGTGCACCTGGGCATTTGCAATGGGAGAGTCCCTATTTGAGAAGCTATTATCAGATTCTCCAAGATTCATTCAGCATCTCTGGATGTTTTGCTCCAGAGGCAGTGTGATAGAGCAGAGGGCTCTGAGGCTCTGAGTGTGGAGAGTAGACACCAGCTTGCTGTGTGGCTTTGATAAGCCCCGACCTTCTCAATAGCTTTGTCTTCCAAGGACATTTGGTGCTGGAGGTGGTTGGGAGAGGGGTTGGAGGAGATAACCGTGAAATCCTTTCCAGCTGTAATCTCTAAGACTGTCAGCTGCTGGGCTGGGCTGGGGAGAGCACTGGGAATGGGGGGCGCTGTTGAAGGTGGGGGTACAGTTCTACTGGAGATTCCAGGATGATGTCTTGGTCTGAGAACTTTCTGATAGGTACATCTGCCTTCTCCTCCCCAGATTATGGCTGGGAGGAGCCCAACACCCATATCCCCAGGTGAACAAGCCGAGATGGTGGGGAGGGGGATCTTGCTGGTAGGACTTAGTGCTGGGCTCAGAATGGCTCCCCTCATTCCTCTCCTCCCCCACTGTTCTCTCTAATGTCCTTAAGGGGGGCATTATTGGGGAGTGTGTACTTATGTGTGTGCATGGCAGGTGTGAGGTGTGTGTCTGTATGTGCATGCAGTGTGACTGAGTGTGGGGTATGTGCCAGGGTGCTGTGTGTGCATGTGTTTGTATAGGAGCAGGCAGTATGTCTGGCCACTGATGGCTTGAGGTAGGTGGCTACTACGTCTAGGGTAGGTACACTGAGTGTGTCTAAGAGTGCGTAAGTGTGGCTTTGTGGAGGTGGGCATAGTGTGTCTGAGTGTGTAGAACACGTGTGACCATGTGTAGGTGTTAGCGTGTTTGTGTGTATGGGTAGGAGTATGTAATGAGTGTGTAGGCATGCAGGGCATGTACATGTACGTGCTTCTGTAGCTGTGTGGCTGGCACGTGGGTCTGAGCAGGTGCGCACTTGTGTGTGTGGCTCACCGCGGTGCACGTGTGTGGGTTGGGGTGGGATGTGCCCTGTGGAGCACGAATGCACGTGCAGTGTGCACTGAGGTGAGGGTGAGCTGCATGGTGGTGAGAGGGGCCTGATTGGGCCTGATGGCGGAGGGTTTGCGAGTGGCACACGCTCTCATCACAGGAGGTACAGATGGCAGCACGATTTTCTCAGCGGGCTATTCTGGGTAGGAACAAGATGCTGGGAATATGCTCATCTTCACATCTGATGCAGAGACGAGCTCTCCCTCCTGACAGATTCAGAGCTCAGGCCCTCTTGGCTGTGTGTGTGTGTGTGTGTGTGTGTGTGTGACTGTGAGCCTGTGTGAGGGAAGGGAAGGTTGGGGAAGGGAAGGGGAGGAGAGGAAGCACGTGCTCAGTCCTCTTGAGGAAATAAAGGTGACGGGGGTGAGGTGAGGGGGCCTACATTTCTGTAGAGGTGCACAACCTCTACTGCGGGCCAGGGCATGAGTCTCTTGGCTTGGTCCCTTTGGCCACAACAGCTTCTGAAGCCCAAGTGATGACCATCTTAGCCCAGACTGGTGGCCCAGTCTGGGAGAGGTGCAGAAATGCTCAGACAGCAGCTGGAAACACCAGCTGGGCCCTGGGTCCCTGACATGGTGACTGTCTACTATTTATGAACCTTTTGTGGACTCGGGCTTTATCACATTTAACCACCACGACAAACTCATAAAGTGGGTTTTATTAAACCCACTTTACAGATGAGGGACCTGAGGTTCAGTGAGGTGAAGCCACTTGCCCACATTCTCCCAGTTGGTATACAGCAGCCCTTGGCTGCTTCCAGGTAGAAGATACCTGCTCCCCACCCCGCTAGGATGCCGCTCTTACCTGGTTCAGCTCACAGAGAGAATGAGAACTATTTTTCCTTGTAGGGGCAGGCATCAGATCCTTTCTCAAGAGTGAGTGGGAGTTGGGAGAAGGGCCCAAGGGGCAGGTCTTTTAACTGTCTGCCTTGAGGGGCCTTGTGAGTTTTGTGCTGGGCTGGGGCAGGGTTGAAATGAATTCCCTGCATCCATTATGTGCTGATGGGGACAGGGGAGCTGCTGTGAACTTGTGTGGGGTGGTGGTCAGGTTTGTAGATATCTGGGGATGCATGACCCTTCTTGTGTGTTTGACAAAGGACTCTCAGTCCAGGGTGGCACCTGGCCTTCTCAACGCAGCAACGTTGCTTTCTGGGTGGGGGCTCCATCAAGGGCCCTCAGGATACGGCTGCCTGGGGACCACCCACAACTCAGCCTTCCCTCCTTCTGACAGCTCTTTCTTCCTGCCATGGCCCCAGGGCTCTCACTCCAACCTGGGGGCAGAAGACCACGGAATCCAAGGGGGCAGCGCTGAGAAGGCCCTGAGTGACATTTTAGCTCACCTGTCTCATTGTGTGGATGGGGGAAACTGAGGCCTAGAAGGAGGAATGGACTGAGCCTAAAACCTCCACCACACTGGAGTTCTACCCCTTCTGGGACAGGAGTAGTGTGAGGCAAGAGGGAGTAATTAGTGAATTAAAGGGCTAGACTCATCAGGAGGCTTGTCTGTCTATCTGTCTACCTGTCTGCCCACCTACCTGCCTCTCCTCCCCCCTCTTCCCCCCATAAGATGTGGAAATCTGTGCACTTGACACTCTGACTTACCAAGTAAGGCAGCAACTTCATACGCCTTCTTCTGTTCAATTGTCTCGTAATTGAGAGCTTCAAAAAATATATCTAGAACGAGGATGTTCTCCCTGCAGAGGGAATATTCAGTACCACACATGGTCAGAACCATCAGGGTCCACAAGGATCATCTAATACAATTTTACCATGGACAGAAGGAGAAACTGAGGCAGAGGGAAGCAAACCAACTGGCTTGAATTCAGAGCTGGTTAGTGGCAGAGCCGGGTTTGAAACCTAGAGTCCTGAGTCCTGGCCCAGCGCTCCCACAGGACTGGAGGCAGAGGGGAGCTGACCCCCTTTGCCCTTTATCTCGATCGTCCCTCTCTCTTTGCATCCTTTCCAGGAGTCCTGCCTGGCCTCCAGGGCTCCGGGCCCCCAAAGGGTCGGCCTGGTCCTTACCTGCAGGTGAGCTCGGTTCTCTCTTGAGAAGGCTTGCCTTGCCTGGCCCAGCTGACCTCTCCTGCCCACTCCCGAGAGGCCCCCAAGTTCCTACTGGGATTTGTACCAAGCTTCTCCCAGTGGGAGGCCTACCCTGGTACTGCCAAGGCAGCTGCCCGAGTCAGGGAGGGTTTTTAGGGAGCAAATCTCTACCTGGCTGGGTAGTTTTCTGGCAGAAACACCTTGGTTCCCTTTTGCTCCTTTAGGCAGATGTGTTAATGAGACACATCTTGGCAGGCAAAGTCATTATTGCCAGCAGAATGTCTGCTGAGCAGCAGGGCCTGGCATCTCCTGCAATTTCCCATCTCCTTCAACGTCACTCACAACGCCCTCAATGCCCCTTGTGTTCAACCCACTGAGCAAAAGCTGTCCCAGGATAGGGTTTGGTGACTGTGTTGGCAGGATGGAGTGGCTGAGGAGAGAGGAGCAAATCCTCTCCACGCAGGGCTCCAGAGGCGCTATGCCAAGCGTCGCCATCTCTTGCCTGGTTTACGGCAATGGCCTCCTACCAGGCTTCCTTCCGCCCATCTGCCTTCCCCTCAGTCCTCTATACTGCCGCCTGAAGGATCTTTCTAAAACTGCTCAACTAGTTCACGTTAAACAAAATTCCAATTCAGTTCCTCACTTGCACAGGCTACATTTAACATGCTCTCTAGCCACATGTAGCTAGTGGCTACCATGTTGGACATCACAGATACAGAACATTTCCATCGCTGCAGAAAGTTCTACTGGGGAGCAGTCGTCTAAAATACAAATTTGAAGCTGTCACTCACCTGCTTGAAGCTCTTCAGTGGCTCTCTGTTCTCTTAGTATAACGTCCCCTCCCTGCACCCGTGCCCCGCCTCCCCTCAGCCTACAGCACCCTCTTGCTCTGACACGTCCACTGGCCCAGCTTCCTCATGCAGTTCTCTTGTTTGCCCTGTGCTGATTCTCTCCGCTGTGCCTCTGCCTGGGACGCCCTCTTCTCCCATGTCTTTCACTCCTTTACTCTGTTAAAAAATATTTTTTGAGCACCAACTCTGTTCTAGACACTCTACAGCAGAGAACAAAAAAGGAAGTTTCCTGCCCTCAGGGAGCTCTCCATCTAGTGCGGGAGGCAGATAAGAAGCAAGGAAACACACACATACACAAATCTAGAATTACGCCTGGTGGTGAGTGTCATAAAGGAAAATACCAGAGTGCTCTGAGAGAAAAATAATAGAAGGAACCTAATGTAGCTGTCCGAGGGGATGACGTTCAAGCAGAGACCTGCACAATGAGGAACTTGTTAGGTGAAGAGTGAGAGGAAAAGCATTCCAGGCAGAGGGAACAGAATGTGCAAAGCCTGCCTGGAAAACTCCTATACATCCTTCAAAAAATCTCTGAAGCTTTTGCTGACTGCGTCTCCATGCAAAGTGCAGCCAACCGCTTCTCTTGTTGCCTGTATCAGCCTATACATCAGCCTATACAGCACTCAGTTGTGTGCTTGTCTCCCCCACAAGACTGTAAGCTCCTTAAAGGCAGGGGCTGCGTCTTAATCATCTTTGTCTTTGTTTTCTGAGTGCTGAGCACAGAGCTTGGCACACAGTAGGTGCTCAATTAATGCCTGCCAAATGGAACTAACTGCTTACCTTTGCCCTCTTCCTCAATTGCTCCCAATTTCCTCCTGATCCACCCCTCCTGACCCCCACCCACCATGCCCACGTAGCTTACGAGATATATTTTTCTGATTTGTTAAATTTCTTCTCGAGGTACTTGGCTGACGTCTTGCTGGGGATCTTCACCATGGAGAGCTCTTTGTTGTAGCGGGTCAGGTTGCAGGGCGTCCTGCAGAGACAGTAATTACTGTCCTTTTCCGCAAGCAGACCTGGAGGGGAGAGGGAGGCGGGGCTTAGCCAGGTGTGGGGACTGGGACCTCCGGGCCCAGAGTAGCAGGGGGCCCAGCAGCAGAGAAGGGAGCTGGGAGGAGGTGAGGGGCGGGGGGCTGCCGAGAGGAGGGGATCGGGCTCTTGCTAGAGGTTGATGAGGGTGTGAGCTCTCAAAAAAGCGCCCACAATCTACACTACCCTTGGTCTTGTTTTCCTTCAGCTTCCTTTACTGACATGTTGCCCTTTAAAAATTGTCAAAAAGGTACCACTTTTGGAGAAGGGGTTCCAAAGGAGTCCTGGCCCCCTCAACTCCCCAGGCCCCTCTTCTCTGCTCCTAGCCTCAGTGTTCTCATCCACAAGTGGGCTGCCCGTCAAAGGCATACGTGGGAGACCCTTTTATCTGAAACCCGGGGCTCCGTGGTATTCCCTCTGGGGCTCCCCGTAGCCAGTGCCCACCTCCTCTGCCCGCTGGGTTAGCACGCAGGCAAAGATTCTCAACTCCTTTTCCTAGAAGCAACCTCCCCACGTCTGGAACACCTCTCTCCCTTTCCTCTTCTTCCATCCACGATGGAGTGGTTCAAGACATCGTTTTCCTCCTCCCTCTTTCCTCTAAACATCTCAGCGTTCCTGGCCACCGACGGGGTTTTGTTGATTCTTGACTCCAAGGAGAGGCCGAGTCTTTGCACCCATCAGGAGCCATTTCCTCTCCTCGCAGCAGGTCCTGGAGGCACGTGGACATGCGAGTCCAGAGCCTTCCCCACTTCTCTCTAGCAAGTGCAGCTGCTGAGCCAACTTGAGTCCATAGGATTTAAAATTCTCTCTGTTTGTCCTGTTTATAACCATCTCCCAGGTTCTGAGAGAGGCTAAATTTGGGGTTACAGCTTGTTTGTGCGATCGCCCTTGCCCACAATTTTCCAGTGCGGGTGGCGGGGGGACCAGCAGTTATTCCAAACTGCAAACACCCAGCTGGCGGAGGAGGGGGAGTGCTCCGTGTCTTCCATTTGTACACGGGGAAGGCACACCCAGCCTTCCCCCCACCCCTTCCCCCACTCAAGGGAGCATGCAAAGACAGGACTGCTTTGGGATAACCTCAGCCTCCTCGGGTGAACCATCAGAGTGTGTGCGGGGGGTGGGGGTGGCGGGAGGTATTGCCAAGCTCCTTCAGGAGCCCACCCGGATGCCCACTGTCCATCCCCTCTCCATCTCTGTCCCCTCCTCTGCATTCCTCAGTTCCCACTGAAATCTACTCCTCTATCTCCGCCTCTCTCCCCCCTTTCTCTCCTCCAGGCTGTTTCCAGCCTTCATCCACTTGCATCAGTCCCCTGCTCCGCCCTGCTCTCCTTCCTCCTCTCCATCGCCCTCTCCGTGCCTGCAGCGTCGCCATCCTGTCCAGCCTCTCTCCCCTCGCCTTTCTGCATGCCCCTCCCACCCGGTCTCTCTCCCACACCAGAAGCTCTCCAAGGTCTCCACCTCATGCCCCCATGGTTCCCTCTGTCCCAGTACTGACCTAGGGCAGGCTCTGCGCACTCCTTGTGCTGCTCAGGTGTACAGAAGGGGGCATCCCCTGCAAAGAAGAAACACAGGGAGAGGTATTCAGGCAGCAACACCTCCCTCCGGGGGCTGGCGGAAGTGGGTGCATGCTATCACAGGGGAGGGGCAACAGTCCACCAGTGGACAGTCAGAAGGGAGCCATTGATCAGGGCTGCCTGGGGGCCGCAGGGGAGCAATGTACCCAGAGCCAAAGGATTGGGTTCTGATCTGCTCTGTGACCTTGGCCAAGTGACTATAGGAACTGCCTGGCTGGCTTCTTCCAGATTGCTGAGCAGGTCCAACCCACTCCCGGAGGTGACGGGGGAGGAAGCCTTGACGGCTGGAAGTGGGGAGGCGGTGGTGAGCACCACTAAGTCCCGGGCACGCATCGTCGTCTTTACCGGTACACGTGCCCGCAGAAGGAGGAAATGTTGTATCTGTTTTACCCCTGAGAGACTTGAGGCCTAAATACCCTGCCTTCCCAGGACACAGAGCCAGCAGTGACGGAAGCGGGCTTTGAACCCAGGTCAGTCTCATCCTGAGGCGAGGGCTCTTTCCACCGCACCACACAGCTGCAGGTGAGCAAGGGCTGCTTTGTAAGTCTCCTCTTTGCTTTGCCCTTAATTCCACATGAATAATTAAGATGCCAGCAACAGTGTCATGAGTGGGATGATGAAAATCTCTCCTGCTTGCCTTTGGCTCAGGTTCCTTGGGGGAAACCTCACCGGCTGGTGACCCAGTCCGAGCATCAGGCAAGTAACATTCACCAGCGCTGGATTTTCCTCTCTGGCCTCTCTTTGTAGAAATCCAGAACCTTTTTATTTTCTTTTACCAAGTGCTAAAGTCCACCACAGTGTCTTTTCCTTACCATTTCCTCCAACACTTTTTTCAAGAGCTGAAGACTGATATGCTTCCTCCTTTCCAATAATAACAATTTAATTGATGTGTTTCCCTTTTTGCTCTGTCTTCTAGGAAGCTCAGGGGCAATTTTAAAGATCAATAATTCTAATCTTAGATTACTTAAGAAACTACTGATTCCTAATGAAATAATTCAGAATTTAGGATGATCATTTCAGCATCAGTTATAACAGAAAACAATTGGTAATGAATTAAATGTTTGACATAAGAATTTAGTTAAATAAACTTAAATAAAGGATGATATAACCATGAAATGGTAGCCATTAAATATAATAGCAAAGTTCCTGGCACATAGTAGGTCTTCAATCAACATGACTTTAGGTTTCTTTTCTTTATGTGCTAACATAACCACTGACTTTGCAGGTAACAAAGCATTTTCATATCCTAGTCTAATTTTATCCTCATAACAACCAATGATTCTGTTTTAAAGATAATGAAGGTGAGAACAGAGAGGTTTAGTAACTCGTGCCAGCTCACACTGCAGATGAGTAGGGGAACCTGAATTAGTAGCCAAGGCCCCTGCCTCAGCCCTAGTCATCCTTCCAGTCTGCAGCACCAAACTCTTCCTGCCCAAATCAGCACCCCTCTCTGCACTTCTGCCTCTGACACGCCGACCGCCTCTGATGAGACGGCTGCCTGCATTGTTAGTCTGACAACAGAACTGTCGGCACACGCACATTTATGTGCTTGCTGGTGGACCTTCGTTTCATTTGAAAGAGTGCTAGACATTTGGATGCAAGAAGGGAAACATCTGGATGAAAGCAACAAACATCTGGATGTTTGAATGTGTACCACTCCGCAATGCAAGAATTGTGAGTATCCAGATACCTGGGCACTAAACTCTAGGGGGTACAATCAGCAAACATATTGAGCATTGAGAGGAATGTTCTCCAAACATCTGGACGCTTCTGGACACCAGGATGCTGCCCTGTTTGCTAGACTGGATGTTTCTATCTGCCCTCTAAACATCTAGGTAACAAAGAACAGTCTTCCCAGAACAACATCCCTTTGGATCCTCATGGAGCGGGTGAAGTGTTTCCCATCAGGGTGAGAAATGCAAAGAGGGGCCCAGGACGTCCCGGCGGGTTCCTGCGGCCTGCCCTCCCCGGCACTGACCTGGCATGTGGACCATGCGGCAATTGCAGTTCTCCACGATGTAGCGAGTCTCACAGTCGATCCGACAGGCGGTGATACTGTAAACAGGAAAGAAGTCGAGTCCCATCTCTGAGGACCGGCACTCACCCCACGGTGGGGGCAGGTATGTGAGCTGCAAGACAGGAACGGGGGGAGCTGTCAGCCCTGGGAGTTCAGCCGTGACAGACTCAGTGGCTCATTCATTCACTTATTCAATCAACAAACAATGATTGAGTGTTTACTACATGACAATCTAAACTCCATTGACCTCACAGGCCTTCAACATCTGGCTCCGATGCTAGTTTTCCTATCCTATCTTTTATAACCTTCCCATAAAGGCTCATCTTCTCAGAGTCTCTTACAAATGCCACATGACTTCCCACTCCCACACTTCGTCATCTCATATCTCTTGGAATGACTTGACTAGATTCTATCCTCTTGGCTTGGGACATTGGGATCCCAGACCTAGATCTGGAGGACGAAAGCTGGAGGAGCATTCTGGATGAAATGGCTTCAGGCATAAGCAGTGTTGTTTATGCTCCTTGGCCCTGATTAGAGCAATTCTCCAGCGTCATGCTATGGACAAACTCCTTTGGGGCAAACGACACTCTTATTCTCAGAAGTCCAATGACCACAAAACGTTCTAGCACCTATTGTAGTTACCTGCTGGGGAGGGTGAAGGATGAGGGAACCAATGGTTGCTGAGCACTATGAAATAAGCCCCAAGCTAAGTCCTTTATACCTATCTTTCTCTTTTAATTGAACAATAAAAAATACGATAAAATGCACGCATTTTCAGTGCACAGTTCAAAATATTCTGGAAAAAGCATACAGCCATGTAAGCACCACTTCAATCAAGGTATAGGACATTTATTTATTTTTATTTTTCATCTTTTTGCAGGGAAAGATTCGCTCTGAGCTGTTGCCAATCTTCCTCTCTTTTTTTTTTCCTCCCCAAAGCCCCAATATATAGTTGTATATTCTAGTTGTAAGTCATCTAGTTCTTCTATGTGAGCTGCCGCCACAGCATGGCTACTGACAGACGAGTAGTGTGGTTCTGTGCCTGGGAACCGAACCTGGGCCACGGAAGCAGAGGACGCTAACTTTAACCACTAGGCCATCAGGGCTGGCTCAAGATGTAGGACATTTTCAATCACTTCAGAAAGTTCCTTCCTGTCTCTTTCCAATCAGCAACTCCACCCCCCCCAGCCCCGCACCCCGGCAATTGCTGTTACAAATTCTATCACCACATGTTGCCTTTGCCTGCTCTCAAATGTCATATAAATGAAAACTTACACTATGTGCTCTTTTGTTTCTGGCTTCTTTTGCTCAACACAGTGTTTTTGAGATTTATTCACATGGTTGCACGCATCAGTTCATTTCTTTTTATTGCTGAATAGTTTTCCGGTGTGTGAATACACTACCATCTGTGTATCCGTTCACCTGATGATGGGCGCTTGAATTGTTTCCAAGTTTGGTAATTATGAAAAAGCCCCTATTAATATTTACATATCGGTCATTTTGTGGACATATATTGTAATTTCTCTTGGGTAAATGGTGAGGAGTTCATAAGACAGGTCCAGGTCTAACTTTATAAGAAACCGTGAAACTGTTATCTATAGTATTTATACTATTTTTCATTCCCACCAGTAGTGTATGAGAGTTCTAGTTACTCCACATGCTTGCCAAATCTTGATTTTGTCCATATTTTTAATTTTACACATTCTTGTAGGGGTATAGTTGTATCTCATTGTTTCTATTTGCGGTTCCCTGATGATTAATGATTGTGAGCACGATTTTATGTGCATATAGGCCATTCATATATTATCTTTTGTGACATGTCTTTTCATTAAAAAGACTTGCTTATTTTTTCCTTTTATTATTGAGTTGTAAGAGGTCTCCATATATTCTGGATAAAAGTCTTTTGTCAGATATACATAGAGAATATTTTCTCAATACTGCTCATAGTTTGTGGCTTATTTTTTCATTTCTTAATGGTATATATTTTTTCTACTTTTTTTTTTTTTGTGAGGAAGATCAGCCCTGAGCTAACAACCATGCCAATCCTCCTCTTTTTGCTGAGGAAGACTGGCCCTGAGCTAACAACTACTGCCAATCCTCCTCCCTTTTTCCCCCCTTTCTCCCCAAAGCCCCAGTAGATAGTTGTATGTCACAGTTGCACATCCTTCTAGTTGCTGTATGTGGGACGCCGCCTCAGCATGGCCAGACAAGCGGTGCATCGGTGCACGCCCGGGATCCGAACCTGGGCCGCCAGTAGCGGAGCGCGCGCACTTAACCGCTAAGCCACGGGGCCGGCCACCTGTTTTTTCTACTTTTAAAATCAACTTCATTAAGATATATTTGACATATAATAAAATGCATCAATTTTAATGTACAATAGAATGAATTTTTACAAATGTATACACCCTGGTAATAACTACTCTAATCAAGATACAGAACATTTCCATTAACCCCAAACGTTCCCTGTTTGCAGACACTGCCCCCTCCCCAGCCCTCAGGCAGTCACTGATCTGCTTTCTGTCATTATGCGTGAGTTTTGTGTGGTCTAGGGTTTTATATAAATAGAGCATATAGCATGTCCTCTTTTGTGTCTGGCTTCTTTCTCTCCACATGATGTTTTTGAGATTCGTTCATGCTCTTGCACATATCAGCAGTTCATTCCTTTTTATTGCTGAATTTTACTTCTTCCTTTCTAGTGTTTATTCTTTGTATTTTCTTTTCTTGCTTCACTGCATTGGCTGGAAACTATATAGTGTATAATGTTGGAAAAAACTGAAGAGAGAGGGTATCCTTACCTTGTTCCTGATCTTAGGAAGAAAGGGTTCATTATTTCACCATTAAATATGTTAGGCATATATTTTTCTTAGATGCCCTTGTCAGATTGAGGAAGTTCTCTCCTATTTTTAGTTTGCTGAGAGTTTTTATCTTCAACAGCTATTGAGTTTTGGCAAATATGTATTCTGCTTCTATTGAGATGATCACATGATTTTTCTCCTTTATTCTGTTAATACGATGAATGAAATTGATTGATCTGCAGAAGCTGAAACTACCTGGCATTTCTGGGATAAGCCCCACTTGGTCATGATTTATCATCCTCTTTATATATTGCTGTATTCAATTTGCAAATATCTCATGGAGAATTTTTGCATCTATGCTCATGAGTGATATTGTATTTAAATTATACTTCTTGTAATGTACTTGTCAGGTTTTGGTATTGGGGTTATGCTAACCTCATAAAAAAAGATGTAAAGTGTTTTCTCTTTCTCTGTTTTTTGAGTTTGCGTAGATTTGATATCATTCCTGTCTTAAGTGTTTGACAGGTTTCACAAGTGAAGCCATTTAGACTTGGTGATTGTGTGTGTGTGTGAAGATTTTTAATTGTGAATTAAATTCCTTTAATAGATTTAGAGGCATTCAGATTTTCTATTTCTTTTTGTGATAGTTTTGTTAAGTAATGGTTTTTCCCAAGGAATTTGTCCATTTCATCTAAGTTTTTGAATTTATTAGCATAAGGTTATATATAATATTCTCTTATTTTTTAAATGTCTGTAGAATTAGTAGTGATGCCTTTTCTTTCATTGCTGACATCGGTAAATTGTGTTATCTCCTTTTTTCCTTATTGTTTTTGATTTCTAATTTAATTATGTTTTGGTCAAAAAATGTACTCTCCATAGGTTCATTCTTTTAACATTTACTGAGATTGTTTTATCGTCCAACATATAGTGCATCTTGGCGAATGCTCCATGTGCACTCAAAAAGTATCTGTATTCTGTAATTGTTAGTGTAGTGTTTTATAAAAGGTCATTAGGTCAAGTTGTTTGATAGTGTTGCTCATATCTTCTATATCTTTATTGACTTTTTGTCTACTCATTAATCAATTACTGAGAGAGAAATGCTGAAATCTCTAATTATGACTATAGGTTTGTCTATTTCTCTTTAGTTCTATAATTTTTGCTTCATATATTTTTGAAACTTATCAGTAGGTACATACCTATGTAGGATCATTATATCTTCTTGAAGAATGGATTCTGTTCTCACTGTAAAATAACCCTCTTCATCTCATGCAATATCTTTGTCTTGAAGTTTACTTTGTGTAATATAGACATACAGCTTTCTTATACTTACTGTTTATCTTTTCTCATTCTTTTAATTTTTTTTGTCTGTCCTTTTACTTTTAACTTGTCAGAATATTTATATATTTAAGGTACAACTCTTAGAAACAGACTATTTGAGTGTTGCTATTTTACCCTATCTGACAATCTCTGCATTTTAATTGGAGGGTTTAATCCACTTAACACTTAATGTGATTCTTGATATGGTTGAGTTGAAGTTTGACTATCCTACTCTTTGTTTCTATTTGTCCCCACTGCTCTTTCTTCCTTTGTTCTACTTTTCCTGACTCTTTTTGGGTTAATTGAGTATTGTTTTAGTAATTCATTCCATTTCCTCTATTGGCTTTTGATTTATACCTCTTAGTATTATTATTATTTTTAGTTGTTGCTCTAGGATTTACAATATGCTTCCTTAACTTATCACAGTCTATCTTGAATTAATATTATACCACTTCACATATAATTCTATATACATCCTTCCTGTCCTTTATGCTATTGCTGTCATATATTTTACTTTTACATTTGTTATAAACACTATAGTACATTGTTACTATTTTTGCCATAAGCAGCTCATTGACTTTTAGACATTAAGAAAAGACAGAAAATTTATATTTTATATTTACCCACATACATACTATCTTCACTGTTCATTTCTCTTTCATGTAAATCTGAATTTCCACTTGCTATCAGTTCTCCTCTGCTGAAGAACTTTCTTAAATACTTCATGTCGTATGGGTTTACTTGTGGCAAATATTCTCATTTCCAATTGTCTATGAGATGTGTTAGTTTTGTCTTTACTTTTGAAACATATTTTGGCCGTATATAGAATTCCAGATTGTTAAGTCCTTCAGCATTTCAAGAACGTTCCACTGCCTTCTGGCCTTCATTGTTTCTGATGAGCAATTCGACATAATCTTTTCATTGATCCCCTCTAGGTATTATGCCTTTTTTCCCCTGACTGCTTTTAAGACTTTATTTCTGTTGTTGTTTTCAGGATTTT